ACCTGAATGGACAAATATTTTGAAACAGCATTAAAGGTGGTAGCGGACAAATGTGGCGGGTGGAAAGGGAGTGAAAAAGTTTAAGTAACTTGTCCCAACTTACCACAGTAAAGACGTACCTCACACTTTTCAGTTTAAAGAGCATGTATATCGATATTCAAACATTATTCACTAACAAAGATCTTGCATTATTATAGAGATGTACTAGTACTCTCTCTTTCTTTCAATTCATAAAATACTTTTTTTAAAAAAAAAATTTGATGTTATAAAATATAAAACGCTTTATAAAATTAATATTTTATTAATAATACTATTTTGATATTGTCCTTTCTCATATATCATCTTTTTTTAAATAATTTTTTACAAATGACCTATATTATATTTTTATTTTAAAAATGTAAAACTATATAATATATTTAATAAATTTTATTAGTATAAAAATATCTTATAAATTAAAAGGGAAATATAGTGAAATAAAACTCATATTTTTATAGGATAAATGTCAACCGCATTAAACACTGCTGCCTCCAATCTCCTTATAATATAAACGAGTCTTTTTCTGAACCTAAGTGCAAGAAACAACTTCCCGTCTCGTGTGTGGTGTGTCCACTAAAATTTTCCTTTTACATTTTAATAATTTAGCATCATTAAATACACAGTCACCATGTATTAAACAATCAATATGAACATTCTTTAAATGAAATCACTCCCGTTGTCTTTATATATGGGATATTTTTAATTAAATTATAAAAATTAATACAAATTAGTTATCTATTTAAAAAACACAGTAACATTTTAGTTTTGTATCTAATTATTATAAATAAAAATAAATTTATTTTTTAAAAATAAATTAATGAAAGCACTAATTTTTTCCTTTTCAATGTAACAAGGATATAATGATTTATTTATTAAAAAATATGCTGACAATTTATTATATTTAGAGATAAAAGAAGATTCTAAACAACCTCTTGTATAAATACGGATGGAGGGAGTAGTTTCAAACATATCTATTTATTTTAAGGAAAAATGACAAAAAAATTTCACCGGAATATATATATATATATATATGATAATTGAATCTGTCAAAATGTCATAATTTCTCTGAAGTTTTTAGGTATATTTTTGACATTAATAATTTTAAATTAATTGAAAAAATTATCCATTTTTTAAAATAATAAAAAAATAACTTGCTCATATGAAAAGTTGTGATTTTTTATTTAATTTTTATGATTCACAGATTAAAATTTGTGATTACTTAAATAAAAATTGTAATTAGTTATTTTCAGACATTGGACTTTAATGATAAAATAAATTTCATGTGAGAAGTTATAGTTTCTTATTTAATTTTTACAATTTATATAATAAAAGTTGTGATTAGTTATTTTCAAAACTTAAACTTCTTTATAAAAGAAATTTTACATAAAAAGTTGTAATTTTTTATTTAATTTTTATAATTTACAGAATCAAAGTTGTAATTGCTTAAGTAAAAATTATGATTAGAATTAATTTTAAAATTGGTTTATCAATCATGAAAGAAATTTTATATAAAAATTATAATTTTTTATTTAATTTTTACAATTTACATAACGAAAGTTATTATTGTTAAAATAAAAATTGTGATTAAAAATGAAGCCAAATTCATTATTTTTATTTAAAAAAATAATTTAAAATTATTAATGTCAGATCTAAAAAATTTAAAAAAATTATGAGAATTTGAAAATCTGATTATTATATTAATATTTTATTGAGATTTTCCTATATTTTAACTGTATTCTCTGGTCCGTGATAAGGTGTTATATATATGCGTGCAGCAAGGTTTATGCTTTGTCTAATGGAGACTTCTTTTCCCACAAACATCACTAATGTCAACCCGACTTGATATTTGTTTGACACCGAAAATCTACTTTAATATTTTATTATTAGATAATTAGACGAACTCGTTCAGCTGCTGGATTAATAATTCTTATCACAGTTTAATTAACATTAATCCATGATAACTTATCAAATATAAAATCTACAACACTCTCACTCTTTACAAGTTATCTATTGTATTACTCATTTTTCAAACTGAATATCTGAGGAGCTAGTTCGCATATCATACCCATAGACAAACACATTTTTTATACACGAAATTACAAATCATAAAAATCGCTCCCTCGAACTCCATCTCCAACTCCATGTATTCATGTAACCGAAAGGACTATATATCTAGTTAATATAAAAAATAATGAACATTATATATTTAAAATCAAAAATTTCTAACATCCGTTTCTACAAATTTTTCTACAGAAAATTTTACGTTCTCGATTCTCCTCAAGTGATAATTAAATAATTTAAAAAATCATAAAACTGTATATCATCATTCTATATTGTAAATACATCATCCCACTATTGATCTACAGTAGGAGTACTTATTATTTTTTATACTTTTAGAGATTATTATGCAGGGCTCGCAATAGTATATGTTTTATAGTGAAAAAATAATGGCAAATATGAGATCTATAATAAAAATAATAGGTATGAAATTCTATCATTTGGTACTTATATATTTTATATGTATAAGATAATAATGTAAAAAGTATTTATCTGGCCATAAATTTATAGTGGGATGAAAATATCATATAGCACTTGTAATAAAAATAGGTGCAAGACTCATAATGTAAAATTGATATGAATATGAGACTTATAGAAAAAATAATAGGTGTTGGATCTATAATTTTTACCTTATATTTTTATATGAATAAAATAATAAATCGTAGAATAAAATATAAAGTAAACAAAAATGATAAGTTTATTTAAATTTTAATTTCTGTGGGAATACACAAAATAAAAATTTTTAAATAAAATAATTTGTTGCTTTCTTCATATGCGTAAGACAATAAATTATAAAATATACTCTCTCCATTCAAAAATATAATAAGGTATTTTGACCAAATCTCACATCTATTTTCAAATTAACTATATCTTTTCATATTTACTCCTATTTAATAAGGTATTTTATCTTAAAATAAATATAAAATAATTTATTAATTAGGGATATTTTTTTTAAAAAAGGCAATAATTATATTTTGAAAGGCTAAAAATATTTTTATATTTTTTAACATTTAACTCCTCAAAAATATTTTATATTTTTAAATTGAGGAAATAATGCTTTATTGTTTAAATTTAAATTTATGCAAAGGTGGTGCATCACGAAATAATTTTTTTTATATTTTTAATATACATCGGGTAAAGAATTTTTTATACATAGATTTTAATATACACGGAGTATATATGTTATTCATGTTTTAATATATACATAGAAAATGTATAAAATAAAACAATTTATTTTTAAAATTTAATGAAATAATAAAAATTATTCTTTATATTTTTAATATGCACAAGAAAATAAATATTTGACATATAGATTTTTAATAAACACAGTTCCATATGTTATTTATGCTATCAACATATACATGGAAAAAATTATAAAATAAAAAAATTTATTTTTTAAATTTTAATTTATGTGAGAATAATACGGTCAAGGATGAGAAATTATTATTTATATTTGATATATGTACAACGTAACATTATAAAATAAGTTGGGTTGAGGTAAGATAAGTTGATGTTTATGACTAATTTAGTTTATGTATTTTTTAATTTTGGCTATAATTATGATTTATAAATATTGTTATGACATAAATTATAGTATATAGTTTATTATAGTGCATTTTTATTTTTCCTAGAGCGATGAATGGGCCAACATGTTCTAAAAGAAATTAAGATAATTTATTTTAATTTGAAAGAGATGAGGAATTAAAACATTGTTTATATTTTTTATTATGCATGAGAGTAACACATAATAAATAAGAAGTTGTTACTTAGATTTTTAATTTATAAGAGCAACAATAATAGATCTAATAGTATTTATTGAGTGATAAATTATATTCTCCAATTAATTATGTGAGGACGAGTAAAAAATTAAATTATATGGGGCAGAACTTAATAGTAAAATTATTTTTAATTTAATTTCAAAATTTCTCTCGTATTGATTAAAAGAAGAGCACAAGAATAGAAAATTGGCATATATTTATCCTAGGGACAATTCATTTAAAATAAAATAATTTATTATTAATATCTTTAATATGTATATAAAAAATAAAATAATTTTTCATTTACATTTATTTTAAAAAAATAAAAAATTCTAATTCTAATTTCTAAGTAGACTGAAATAATTTTTTTTATATTTTAATTTTATTTTTACCTTTTAAATATTAAAATATTTCATGCATCGCATGAGGAATAAATATAGTTATAAAATAAATTATACAAGTCCATAAATTTTTTATTCATATAAGAAATTTCATAAATTTTTTATTTTAATTAAAATTAAAAAAATTATTTTTTAAAAAAGCTTATCATCATATCATTTAAATTAACGCAAAAAATTTTTTTGGAAATTAAACAAAAAGTAAGTTAAATTTTGTTGAACTTAAATTTGCGTTACTTCTATTTAAAATTAATTTATATAATTTTAACAAAAATAAGAAGAAATTTACATAATTTACTCATAGGACTAAAAATTTCTATAAACTTAAAAGTAGCAATACAGTCTTTATGAAATATTTAGAAGAACTATAAATAACATAAAATCTAATGTACGAGTAAATGTTCTTCACCAGCAGTGAAAATTTTTTTCACTCTATTGAACGAAGGATTAAAAAGAAAAAATCTAGCCTCATTATCGTGTGTTTACTCATTACTTTCGAGTCTTAAGCACCTCTAAAGATTGTTGTTTTTTGAATTAGAAGGATTTATCAGCAGGATCGAGCACGCGATTACAAGGCCATTCCATGAAGATGACTGTTAGTTTACTTTTTCTGTTTTTTTTTCCCCGTTTCGTTATAGTTTTGTTGCTTTTTCTATCAAAAAAGAAAGATTGAGAGAGAGAGACGCAAGAATGAGAGGATTTTACAGGGTAGTGAAATATGGATGAGAACTTAAAACCAAAAAAATATACATATATAAATAGATAAGAAGTAGATTGATGTATGTAACCATAAAGCACATGCAAGCCATAATAAGTGGGTCAGAGTATGACGGTATTGATTTGAAAAGCAGAAAGATAGAAAAACAGAAAAGAAGGAATGAAGAATGATTAACATGAAGAGCTTCGTCTGTTGAGTTGTTCTCGTTTGCTGGCAAACACTTCTCCATATGTCATCATCCAAAACCTTTCAATCTCCTCAGCTTTTCGTCCTGGAATCCTCCCAGCTATCAGGCCCCACCTGCATTTCACACAACACAGGCATTCATTAATGCACGCACATGCTCACAACAATTAATGTTGTTTTATGTTTTCCGAATATTTCAGATTCATTAATGGCTGCTTCAAAGTTCAACAGCTTTATAGATGCAGATATATTGTTATACAAGACCACAATGCATGTTGACATTCATCACACTTTGTAGCTCAAAAGTTTCAGCAAAAGGATATTGATTGATTTTGAAGCAAGATTTAACTACCTGTCTCCAACAAGTCGGTGCATTCTGTGAATTAGATCTTCTTCTTGATCTGACATGTTAATGAACTCCCATTCAATGCTACTCACCTCTGCCAACAACGACCTCATAATAATCAGTAAAGATGGAAATTTTGGCATGTCAAAGTTTTATTTTTCTTTCCAGAAACTTGAGAAATTAAAAAATTATGTTTGATCATGAGATTCAGGTAACAGGAACGGTACCCACTAGGACACAAACAGGAAGAAAACAAAAGAATATAGAAAATTGTCAAAAGAAGTTAAGAAAGTATATATCAGAACCATAGCTTGCATGCAAAACCTCTCATAAGACTTGAATCAAACAGCCACCGAAGTGAAGGATGGAGAGACCAGTGAGAGACAAGGAAGAAGTCAGGATTGGATCGGGTATAAAATTGCAAAAAGAATAAGAAAAAACCAGAAAAAGGAATGAAAAGTTGCAGCCAGTGGAATATATAGCAGAGCGGGCTTGCATGCAAATCTCTGATACAACTTTATCAACCAGGTGTCACGGAAGCGAAGCCAAATTAAAATCTGAACCGAAGAAGGGGAAAAATCCAGAATTGAAGCAAGAGGAAGAGTAGAGAAAGGTAGGTCTGCATGCAAAATCACTCAAAGAACTTTAACCGAGGAAGGGAAAAAAACCCCGAACCGAACATAGCATCAAAATAGAAGCAGAAGGACAAAACTCAAAACCATAGTGATATATCGGACAAGGTTTGCATGCAAAATGTCTCATGGACTTTTCACCAATTGGATGTAAGACAGGTCAAAAGAAGACTCAAACCGAAAAAGGGTAGAACCCAGAATTGGAATCGGTACTAAAACGGAAGCGATAAGAAAGAAGAGAGGAAGATTCACCTTCAGCAGAGTAAGAGCTACTCGTCTTTCCGCCGCTTTTGGCCATGGTTCTTTCTTTTTTAACTTTCTAGTTTCTAGCAGTGGCAAAGACAAGAGAGAGAAGAAGAAGAAGAAGAAGAAGAAAGAGGGAGAAGAAGGGATGAGAATGAGGGAGAACAGAGCTGAGAAGGATTAAATACATAACATACCAAAAGGGAAAAAGCAAGGTTGATGAGACGGGGGAGAGATTAGTGTTGAAGTTTGCTTTTGTTGGGACATGGCATCGAAGAGAGATTCGAGGGACGTGAGGAACAGAGCAAGATAGATAACGGAAGGTCCAACCAAACATACAAAATAAGCCTCATTTCCTTTGACTTCTAGTTGTCCTCCTTCCGCTTCGCCACAGCCTCACGTATTTCACAATTCCTTTTTAAGCTCTTGCTCTCATTTAATTCATGTTTCAATCTCTAAATTTCTTCTTAGCACAGCTGGCAGAAACTTTTAAGTATACGTGGATATTTTGATGGTGAAATTATCTATTATTTTAATATTTTTAAAGTTCAGAAACATGGATTTTCACCTTTTCAGTCAACCTGGCTCATGCATCAGAGAGAGTAAGCTGAGGCAGTTAACAGATATAAATATATATATATATATATATATAAGAAAGTTCAAGTACTGGCCCATCGCATCAATTGTCAATTAATAATAAAAAAAATACAATATCAGATCAAACCGATATTCACATTAGGTGCTACTGGTCAAATTTTTAGTATAATTTGTTTCCTGTCAGTTTAATTCCTAAAATTTAATTAGTTTCATCAGTTGAGCTACGTCTTTTAAAATCACCACGCTACTATTTTAGTTTTTAAAACATAAATTAACTCTTAATATGATATGCAAAGTATAATAATAATTTGATATATATATATATATAGCTAAATAAGAATAAATTGACCCTCAAATTAATTTATTTTTTTATTTACATACTCCTTTATGTTGGATTTTGATTTTTTTTTAAGTTTCTGAATTTGTATTTTTTTCTACCATAAATAATTACACTTCTTTTTGTTAATTTGCATGGTTACTAATTCAATATTCTGCTACCAAAGTCAACAAATTTAAATAGTGCTACCCTCTTCTTTCAAATAATAAGGAGTAAATTGATAATTAAAATAAATTTAAAAGATAAAATTAAAAAATATTAAATTAGAGAGACCAAATTAATAATTAAAATAAACTTAAATAACCAACAGATTCATTTGGCAAAGAAAAAGATATACACAGCATGCATTGTTGTCTCTAACAGTGAACAAGTATTTGAATATATAATATAGATGGAATGTTGGGAAGATTAAAACAAGAAAGATTAATGAAGAGCACAAGAATGAGGTCTGTATTATAATAATAATACTCTTCCGATTCAGTATATAAGTCACTCTCTAAAAACATAATCTAATCTATTTTATAAGTCATTTGTTGATGGAATTGTTTTGTTTCAAATTAAAATTCTCAGATTACTTTTAAAAAGTAAGAGAGAGAAAGATAAAAAATAATATTATATGATTGATTTATTTTTTATTTTTTATTTAAGAGTTATGTTTAAAATTTCACTTATTTTTATTTTTTACACTTTTATTATATTGATATTAATAAAATTAATAAAAATAATTTATAAATAAGTCAAAAAGGGAGGATAATGGAAAGGCAAGGGCCGGTGTTTGAAGTTGAAACATGAAAGACAGCAAACAAGAGGCTTTCGGATAAAAGTTTGGTAGCACAGTACTGAAAGTCAAAAGCTGAAATGAAACTCATTAAATAAACTATTATTCCTTTTTGGCTTCTCCGCCTTCATTCCTTTGCCCTTTGGAACATTATGATTACTTGACAGAAACCTGTGGCATCTGAAAATCTGACTTGCTCTCCTTTCGAAACTCTATATTTGTGCCAAATCACGATGTTCATTCTCTTCCTCTACCTTTTTCACAGAATTATTAGTCTTAGCCTTTGGATCCTGAAACTTGATTTCAAGCTTTGGTTAGGAGTGTATGAAATATCTTAACTGTGAATTTGATTAACTTAATATGTACAATTGTTCCATATGCGGATTATTGTGCGTACAGTAGAAACTAGAATAAGTAACACTTTTGGAAAATTCCTTGCAGTATATGATATAGGCCAGGAAGTAACAAAAATGTCACATGATTAATCAAATATTCCTACATCAATAAATCAGTATGCAGCTATTCTAATTCTACCACAGCTCTGTTTTATAGGTAATTCAAGCTCGAGTAAATATATATGGAGTAAATTACACAAACGTCCCCTGAATTTTGTTTTTAACTTCATAGATCTTTTTCCTTAAAAAATTTCGGCACTCACAATCAGATGAACTGATTAATATTAAATCAGTAAAAAAAAATTTCAGCACGGTGAGTTCTGAACTCGGAATCGAACTGATTCTTGTTCTTCGTTTTTGCTTCAATAGTTTTGGTTTTATTGATGTTTTTATAAACTCGATCTGCGCAAAAAATTCACGCTTTTATTTTACTTATGGTCCATCACGTTAAAGTCACCTCTCGTAAATGTTATCATCATATATTTCTTTTTTGTAGCTGGTAGGTTAGAGTAAGAGATGATGGGTGAAAGGAAAACTTAAAATATCTATCTTTTATCATCATCATTCGGTCGAGCTTTTGTTAGATTGTTCAAACCGACGTTGGTTAATGATCCGAAGTTGATCGGCAGTTCCTTTCAATTTCAGAGGACTGTTATTTTTTCTTTTTTTATATGTATCAAAAAAAAAAAAAAGACTAAAGGGTTGCAAACATCTAAGCAGCATAACCAGAACCGGTCAGGCGAGGATGAGCTAAATGCTGATCCTTCAAAAATCTTCCCAAGCAGATGGGAGGAACCTGTGGAACCAAACTAATCTTAGGGTTATCATTCAAAAAAGTCGGATTTTTTTCTAAATCCAAGTTGCTTGGACACCATTAGACTTGATTTTATGGCACACAACTCAGCTTCAGTAACAGAGCAATAGCCCAAATCTTGTTTAAAATCCATAATCCAATCGCCATGGCCATTACGAAGGACCCCGCCGCAAGCTGCACGCTTTTGTGGCTGAACACATCTACACGAATCACAATACTGGGTGGAGAAGTCCAAACGCTTTCCTGTGGCGCAAGCTCCTGGAAGACTTTGCGCCACAGCTCATTGTTAACAACACTTTCCAGCAGCAGATAATTGCCTTTGTGAATAACCTCGGTAGCAGATAGTGTGTTCCCTCTCGAAGACAAATTTACACCGAGAGGTCCAAAAAAACCAGCAAGACAAAGCATAAACTTTTGCCTAAGGCCACGAGCCAAACTCCATTTTGCCCGGTTGTGCTTCAAGTTTCAATTAAGCCGATCCTGTAAATTACCATGAAAAAAACTAGAAAAAGAGTTAGCATTCAAAATAACTTTACCACACTTCTCTAACTTTCTCACAATCTCTCAAAATATGCATGACATGTTTTTCATAATCGCACTCAAAAGGGTACAGGGATATCCTTGACAATCCTTTTTCGACTCTGAGTGAGTTAATGACAAATCTTTCATGAAAAACTTGTCATGTGAAGAACTTAATTTTCTTTAGGATTTGCTACTTCCAAACTTTCCTTCAAAGAGAGGAACTATTTGTCACCATTATATTAGAAATAAATGCATAGGCACTTTTAACTAGGAAATTCCCATCGAAAGTAGGTCTCCAGCTCAAATAGCTCTCAGCATTAGTGACAGGCAATTTGGGTATGCAAAGGCATGGTATTACCTAAGGAGGTATTAAGGCCTACCAATACTTCATATTCCAACGACTACTTGAAAGTACATGATCCATAACTTGACCAAATGAGTTGGCACTATTTGGATCAAGAGCAAACTTAATAATTGGTCTATCTAGTGGTGACCACTTATCCCACAAAAAACCAATGGATCTTTCGTTTCTTCCCCAACCCCTTATAAAAGAATCCCATACCTCTGCAATGGATCACTATGTTGAAGAGGAACCTTGAAGCCTACAAAGAATAGGAATAGGGCTATAATTACACCGATATGTAGCTCTCAAGCAAAGGGCCCATATCTTTTTCAATTGAGTTACCAAACCCCAACACAATTTCAAAATGAAAGCCTCATTTTATCTTCTCAAAACATTAATACCCAAACCTCCGTCTTGTTTGGGCTTGTTGATTTGGTTCCAAGCATTAAGATGCATCTTCTTGACTTTTATATCTTGGCTCTATAGAAAACTGAAAAGTCTTAAGTCATGTCAAGCTTTTAAAAGAAGCTAAGGTGTAGTAGTGTGAGCGCCCTAGGTCATTTTATTCTCAAGGAGCAAGCATTTTGTAACCAAATCAATCGAATAATTATGACAAATTAAAATTCCAAAATTGAACTGAAGAGTTTAAAAGAGAATTTACATGTTTATATTTGATTTTAATATGAAACAAATGAAGAGAAAACATGTAGAAATCAACCAAGTATTAAAGTAGCTTCTTAAAGTTAGATTCCACCACTTCCATCCTTGTTCTTCCTTACCTAGTTTTAAATTCAATTGTCTTCTTCAATTGGTGTGTGAAGCTATCTTAGTGACCATCAAGACTAGGTGATAGTGATTAGAACCTATTAATCACTTAGAATTAAATGCACAAACTACCCATGTTAGATACACCAATATGTGATTCAATCCTTGAAACTAGTCCTAACTTTTACCTTGATTATATTAATACTTTAAACCAATCAAGATTATGATATTAACTAGAGTTTAAGACTTAAACAATAGCTAGTACAAGTCCAAACAGCAAGAAATTAAAATGAAAATATGTATTCATTCATCACAATCTTGAGACATAAACACAAACACTTAGAGTGTACAACTAATTCAAGAATCAAATGCACATCCTCTCCTCTTTAGAACATGAATTTTAGCTATAATGATTAATCTAATACCTAGAATCAATCAATAAGAGAATTAATTACATAATTAAAGAAGGAGAAGAGAGGAATTCAAAGCAATTGAAAGCAAGAGAAAAGGTTTGGGAGAAATCAAGACGTGGCATCATCTTCCTTGAAAAGCTTTAAGAATCTAGCCTCTCATGGTGAATTGTCCTTGAATTCAAGCTTGAATCCTCATTGAGATGATTTCCATAGCTTCAATGTTTA